AGCGGGGCTTATTTTGACTATGTTTATTTACGGCGACAGAGTTGAGCTCTTGTATTGCCTCGTTTGAAACCAACGGGAACCTGGAAACTTCTACCTTCTTGAGATGGCTCTGGATTTGTTGTTGTATCACCTGGATCTTGAGCAGATGTTGAAGAAAAATCGCCAAAATATTCGTCAAAATGAACACTGAAAGTTGGAAACTTCTCTTAAAGTAGGTATTCAGCCAGCTTTCAGCCTGAAGGAACTCATTATCATCATTCAGAAGCTGTAATAAACTAAATTCGTCACTTATTTAATTGAAAAAAAAAACCAAAAAAAATGGCGATAAAAGTTGCAAAATTCGCCACACAATGGCCTTTTGTCTTTCATTTTCCTGAAATTTTATTGGTTATACTTAGACTAACCTTGAAACTTTGAAGACTTGAAACCTTAACTTTGAAACTTTAAACCCTGACATGTAAGCTTATTATTAAAACTACGGCTGCATACGTGGTCATACGTTTATGCACACGAACAATTGCGTCTGTGTTTTTATGTTTTAGTGCGTTATTTTGTAGTCCTTGATATTCACCTCTGAAAATTGTACTAAAACAATTATTCGCCTCAGGCTCCTTGAACATCGGTGAATAGTAACCTCGACTTCGTCTCGGTGAATATTCACCAATGTTTACTTCGCGTTTGGCGAATAATTGTTAAATACAAAACGAAAAGGTCACGAATGAATGTATCTTACATTGTTCTATAATTAATGTCTGAGATTACTACCTTTTGCTTTCCTGCCTGGTTAGTCAACGTTTTTGCTTTTTTTTGTTTCTAGTTTTTTTTTTATATCGATCGGAACCAGAGTGACCCATGGAAAGTACGATATTTTCCCATATAGCTTTACATGTAAGTTACATGTAACATCACATATATATTAAGCTAAATGATTGTCTGGACGGTGTAAAGGACAACAAACAAACAAACAAACAAAACAGAAGCCCGTTGTAACGTTTTTGTTTTATTCGTTGACATCGTTTAGTAGTTGTCATATTTTGCTTTCTTGTTAGTACTTTATTACTTATGTTATCATTTCTCTTACTTTATTGCTTTAGCGAAGATTAAAAATAAATTTCAAAGTAAGCCAAAGCTGTAAGATAGTGTCCTTTTTTCTCTGTGAGTGGCATACAGTGTAAGTTGGTTGTATGTAATGTGTAGACTGTAATGCGAAGTGTTACCAGTACCGGCGACCTTTCGCACGATAAATAGGTCCAAATTCGATCCAAACAATTCAGTATCACAATGCTGGCAGAATT